AGCGAAGGCATACTTTCAACCCTCTTGACGGTTTATATCGCATTACACTGTCTTCCGCTGTTTTTTTTTTCTTCAAAATTTAACTAGGATCTCATGCAAATTCTACTAACAAAACAAATCTTTCTCTACCCCACTGTTAATTGAGTTCTGGAAGCAAACTGTCTGTATTCTATTTTTTGTTCCCAATCCATACCACTTGTTTTATCTACATTAATCCTTAACCCTGAAATTTTGGCAAATTCTTTCTACTATAGAATTAACTCCTCCAACGATTTTTCAGACCTGTCCAGAATTATGTATCATCTACATACCGAGACAATAAAAAAGGGATATATTCAACACTGATGCCTTTTATATTGTTATTATTCCTTCATCTAGTGGCTAGAACTTCAACACAAAAAAGAAAAAGATCAGGTGCAATAAGGTCCCCTTGCCTGCAGCCTCTTAATATAAAAAATGATGATTAATTCCCCCCATGATTAATGGTTGATTGAACATTATTATGTAAAGTTTTGAATCATTTAATAATACTACTTCCAAATCCATAAAGACGTAAAACCTATTTCTTCTAATATATTCTCCCTGTGAGTGATGAGAGTTTGTATGAACAATATAATGTTCAATGATATGTTTTAACGGTAACTGAACGTTCATGGTAATATTTGGAATCTACAATGTATGTGTATTAGAATATTCGTAAATCGATTAAGAGGTTATTTCTTATTTGTAGTTCTACTATAAATGATGGATGAGGTGATATTGTGGTGTGTTGCAAACTTATATATGACTTGTACGTTAGCGCACGATACGTGTTGTAAGTGTGATTTTACTTTACAGCTATTTCAATCCTCATGTTATAAAGTATTTTATTGTAGAAGAATTCATATTGTTTCACCCGGTGAAATGTAATGTGTTAATGAAAGAAGAGTATGAATTGTTGAATATGTAAGGAGCGATTTTTGAAGTTTTTATTCTGTTTAATTGTATATTCCAGAATGTCAATTTTACATCAATTAAACATTGAACAAACCCAGAGGTTTTGGGGGTTTTTTGGCACACCACCACCCGCTACATTACTGACAACAAACTATTGAAGCCAGTTAACTATTCAAATGGGTCAGGTCTTCGAATCTTAAGTCGTTTGAATATGATTACAATGAATGTTCTTAAGTAGATTAACTCTTAATGTCACCAACTGTGATTTTTCTACGTGGTAGAGTTGTAATAATTTTATTTTTTTGTTAAATGTACTGATAGGAGCCTTTAGGGCCAGACTTTGGAGGTCCTTTTTGCTGGGAGTAATAAAATAGTTTTTAAACCAGGGGTCTTGAGTTCGATCCATACTGGAAGCTAGAAATCTTTTAATGTATTTCGTTAGAATATATCCTACAAGGCAATTTGCTTCTTGATCTCGCCAATTAGCTCCACATCTCGTGATCTACTTTTGCTTTAAGCTTTTACAATACATGGGGAGTATTTTTGAAATAACGGGATATCAGTGACATACGTATATAAAACATTTAGAAAAAAGTTTAACAACGAATTATTGATTTCTATTCAACAAGGAAAATGCCGCCAGGGTCACAGCTGTTACTTACTGATTTGATGTATTTATATTATATCAATATTGTATAATTTCTTGTGTAAACCGCCTCCATAGCTCAGTGGTTAGAGCACTGGTCTTGTAAACCAGGGGTCGTGAGTTCGATCCTCACTGGAGGCTATAAATCTTTTTTTAAAGTGTTCACTTAGATTATATCCTATGATGCAATCCGCTTCTCGATCTCTTAGTTCACAATCTCTTGATCAATAACAAGGATAACGGTTCCTGAAACCGCTCAATTCATTTCTTTACCTGCCCGTCTGTTGAATTTCTGTCTGCTCTGCTTCAAATTTGGTTCCACAGCGATACATTACATCTTTTTTCAGTGTTCAACCCACTTGACGGTTTATATCGCATTACGCTATCTTCCGCTGTTATCAGGTATAGTGAAGTAACCTTTATCATCATCCTTGATAACATCTTGACACCTGGTCCTGCTTTTTCAAAGGCTGGTTAAAGATAACTAGTGTTTAATGAAAATTTTAAAGCATAAATGAAACTGGGAACAACCTGTGGCTAACATCTTGGAATTTCTTATATGCGTTGGAAGGAACAACATTTACTAACGCATCTCACTTAGGTGTAGGAACGAAAGGGAAATAACTCTTCACTGATAAATTGTAACATGACCTTTGTGCACCTCGGGCCACGTGTAGTTTTAAAATCTTTTACAAATGTGTCTGACAGCATTTTCTATCAGTTTATCATTAATTTTCATCTGGTGTTATTCTCTTATGTTATGAGGAGTCTCCATGTAAATCTATCACTTTGTTTTTGCCTAGTTTCATCGAATATGAGTTTAGATTATGATGATAATGACATGATATTAGTGATTTCATGTTGTTGTTTTCATCCTGGCGACATATTGAGATGTTCCTCGAGCTGTTGCTCCAATCTCCGACTTATCATAACCTCTCCTTGCCAAGGTTATTGACCTTCCATGTTACTAGCAATGTTACGTCAGGCGGCAAGTCACACGCTAACTTTCAGATTGTAGACTGTCCACCTGTGCTATTTTTAGGTATTGGTGGTGGCCGCGTGGGACTTCAGCATCATTTGTTTAGATTTAGATACCCAATAGTGAGCACCGCCCAGTTCATTCGATTGTACATGTAGGGCGGGGTAGACATGCGACGTAAGTTGTTCTCCGCTCGCTCGCTTTCCTATCCATGTGCTGCAATAACTATCAAATAGAACGTGTCACGATTCTGTAACTCCTCCCTCGAGATGTCACTCGGACAATTACAACTGAGGTGTATGATGAGAAAGTGATATTGACCAATCAAAGTTTAAAACAACATTACTGATCTACCTAGATTTTGCTACTGGAACCTGCGAGGAATGAAGAATGGTGACAACATACGGAATCCAGACGGTGTTCATTTCTCCGAATGTGGACAAGGGAAGTATTTCCAGAAATTAAGAGAGACTATCCCGAATTTTCTTACTGGCCATGCATAGCTAATTACCCTAGATAAGGGTCAGTTGATACTAATACATGAGTCATTAATAAGGCTAAGAAGCTTCATGTACATGTACACTATCATACTCAACCAATATCTTACATTATTTACACAACTAGATTTTAAAAAAGTACTTATATATTATATTTGATCATATATATAGCCACTCATAGAACGTACACACCCTCAGTCAGTGTGCAGTTTTGAGTTGCCCTTTACTCCCCTGGGGTTTCAATGACATCATTCATATTATTTAACAAATTAGTACTGTTTCAATACTTTGATCTTGACACAATACCGTTAAGATCCATATATAAGATATTAGCAATATTGTGTTTTGATTTGAATCTTAAACACACTGAGTACCATTAGTTTAAATGGGTGTATATCAGGTATGCTTTATGCCATCAGTGAGGCACAGAGCGTACTTGAATAATGCAAATACAACCCCATGTGCCATGCACTTATGTTGCTATACTTACACAGGTATGGTGTTACATGCTGTGTTGTTTCATAATCACCCCAAACCCAGGCTGTTATTGGTACAGGCTTTGTCAGTAGTGTTGATATGTATATTTTGTTGATGGAGGTTATGCAGTCTTGTGAGCATATCCTCAGTGAATTCATTTTTTAAAAATATTTTGTTGTATATATGCTAGTATTCATATATAATGTGTTAAAAAATGAGGCACACACAAACCGGACCAACAAAAAACCTTGGGTTGGCTAGCAAAGATTGGCGGCCAGAGCCCCTGTGAAACAGCCACGAGGGCAGGTAAAGTTCACCACATAATCAGGCTGGTTCCCTTCTGATCCCACAAAAGATATTGACACAGTGCCACGGTGGAGTTGTATATTTGGGGCTATATGTTCCAAATGTCACCCAGAGATGGGGCATGCCCTGTTTCAGTATGCTCGTAGGATTCAAGATATAGCCAAGGAATCGGGGGATACTGCAGCTATCTCTTATGATAAATCCTTCGGTCTCGCGCGAGCGGGAGCTGGCAGACTGTCCTTGGGAGCATTTGAATGTAGCTTTGTACCACGAGGCCTTGGCCAGGGGTTTGAACTCCAAGCTCCGTGGTAAACATGGGCAGCCTTTTCGCTCCGTACGTTGCCCATGGGTTTAAGTTACTCATGTCAATTATTTGAGAAGTTTAGCTCGTCTATTCACTGGATTTTAGGCAAAAAGCTCGGGGTCAAGGGTTGTTTTAGATATTTTAGATGACTTCTTGTTTTTAGGTCGTCCTAAAACAACTGAATGCAGACAGGCCTTGTTTGCTTCTTATGAAGTAGCATCTTCCTTAGGCATTCCAATAAAGGAAGAAAAAACTGTCCACTCAACTACAGTTTTAACAGTTTTAGGGTAAGAGCTTGATTCTTTTGCCATGGAGGTTAGGCTTCCTCAAGATATACTTGTCAAAATAAGACTGAGTTACACTGTATGTCATCAGAGCATGTTTTATCTAAAGCCGAATTGCAATTATTATCTAAGGGTTTAAATTTGTGCCCCACACCTAAACCACCGAGTACAGATCTTTTGTTAACACAAACCTTCCTGTTTAACAGGAGGGTCCGCATCAAACATTTCTTCAGAAATCACCCTGAATCTACACCTATACCATTCCGAAAAACATCGGAATGGACCCCACCATCAGGAATAGAAAATCATTTAGATACTTTCCTTAACTCTTTGCCTGCTGCTGGCGGCAAATCCCGCCCGTGGATAAATATCCGTTGCCCACTGCTGGCGGGAAATTCCGTAGTTCTAAAATTAACCTACACAAATTCTGATGACGAAATACACAGTACACATAGACGCTACATCCGGGGATATTACCACATGGCTTCCACATTGAAACACGCTGTAAAGTGACAGTTCAAACGAAAAAAATCGAGTTTTTTTTCAATTTTTGAATGAAAACATAAACAACATGGCTGAAGATGAATTCCACGATTTTGTTGGCAACTCCGACAGTGAGGATGAGGAGTTTTTAGGGTTTAACTTGGATGAAATTAGAGACGATATTGAGCAAGGTGATGTGGACGGTGAAATCAAACTTAATGAGGACGAAATCGCAGAAATAATGAGAGAAGTTGATGAAGAAATGTACCGGGAAGAGAGAGATCCAACACTCGATGCTTACGAGTGCAACTGGCTACGTGATTTTACCGAGCAACCGGGGCCTCGTCACATAGACGAAAATGCTAGCGAGTACGACATATTTTCAAAAATTGTGAATGAAGAAATAATTTCTTTATTAATGGAAGAAACTAACATATTACCAGCAGCAACTGCTAAAGGTAGGTGGTATTGCTTCCTTGAAACCTCACGCCCGTCCCAGAAAATGGCAGGACGTTACAAACCAGGAAATGAAAGCGTTTCTCGGAATGATGTTGTACATCGGTCTTGTCCGATTACCAAATTATGAATCATATTGGAGTCAAGATGAATTGATATCTTTGAAAGGTTTTACTACCTTAATGTCTAGAGACAGATTTCTGAACATTCTAGCCTATTTTCATGCAGCCGATAATGATTTGGAGCCCCCAAGAGAGAGCCCAAATTATGACCCAACTTACAAGTTTTCAAAACTTGCCAGACTACTTATCAGAAATTGGCAACGGTATTACTGTCCCCACAGGGAAATGAGTACTGATGAAACACTAATTCCTTTCAAGGGAAGAACTAAATTTATCCAATATATCCCTTCAAAACCCCATAAATGGGGGTTGAAAGTGTGGACATTGGCCGAATCCAAAACAGGATATATGTATAACTGGGAAATGTACACGGGAAAACAGGCCGCCACCAACGATGCGAGGGGTATTGCTCACCGTGTGGTTATCAACATATGCAGCCCAATAGTAGACAAGGGATATCATTTGTATTATGACAATTATTTCTCAAGCCCTGCCCTCTTTCGCGAGTTATGTGATAAACAAATTGGTGCGTGTGGGACCCTGCGGACAAACCGGGTTGGTGTTCCTGCTGTCGTGAAAACTGCCAAGCCTCCCAAAGGCGAGAGCATTGTACACAGAGATGGCCGCTTTCTGTACATATCATTTATGGACAAGAGACTTGTGAATGTTATAACAACTGTCCACAATGGATCAACCTATACCAAGAGAGTCAGGTCGAGGTTTCATGAAAATCACTTCAGGGAAGTGGAGCACCCAATGGCAATTCAGCTCTATACAAAATACATGGGCGGTGTTGATAGTGCAGATCAACAGACACAATACTGTGTCACACAGCATAGAATGCTGAAATGGTGGAAGAAATTGGTACTGTGTAGCCTATTAGAAATAAGTTTCTGCAATGCCAAAATATTGTGGAAGCACTTCAATCCCGGAATGCGAAAGTACTGCTCAAACAATTTCCGTCTGGCTGTGATCTCTGGTCTTCTTGAAGGGTATGAGAGACAGAACAATAAGAAATTTGTGAGGCCTGCAGCCAACCCCCCTTCAAGAATGACAGAAAGGCATTTCCCATCTCTAAATCCATCCATAACCCCAGGAGGACGGCGTTCAAACCCGGACTGTGAGGTTTGTTCTAACCGGGAAGAAAAGCGCCGGCACCAGACACAATATGTATGCATGGCTTGTAATAACATTCCACTTTGTGTATTTCCCTGCTTTGAGAGGTATCATACACAACTTAACTACAAGATAACCTGTCATCCACAGTTACACAAGTGAGGTAGGGGCTGTGTTATAATTATGTTGGAATAATTAAAAAAATTTTTTCCATTCATACTATCAGTGTTCATTTTAGTGATTTTACTAACACAAAAAACAACAAAACACGCTTGTAGTAGTTGTAAATTATATTTTAATTATATATCAGCAT